TGAAAACAAACTGTCACGGACCCTGCCGTGTTATCTATGATTACTATACGCTTTTCATTCATAATATCAGCGGGAGGGGGGGGGAGCGGCGCTGAGGAACAGCAGAGTGCGGGTTGACGGGTGTCTGTGTTGACACTCCCCTTATTGTGCGTCAGCAGAGGCTACAAGTGTCTTAGGTTCAAGTTAGACGACTAATGTCTGGGTTAGAGTTCATGACTTCATGTTTATGTCATCTTAATGGTTCATCTCAATGCACACACATTTTCCGTAATTTCCAATAGTTTAAAATAGTTTTATTCCACTGTTAAATAACCTGTTCAATACAAACATGCCACTTGTAAAAATTAAATATCATTTCTGTGAAGTGATGTTTGTTTAGTGAGCTCATTAGAGGATGTTCCCTGAAAGATTGTAAAATGTCAATGAAGATGTCAGACTTAGTATCTTTGTTAATAATTACATACAATACATGGAATGTGTGTGTGTGTGTGTGTGTGTGTGTGTGTGTGTGTGTGTGTGTGTGTGTGTGTGTGTGTGTGTGTGTGTGTGTGTGTGTGTGTGTGTGTGTGTGTGTGTGTGTGTGTGTGTGTGTGTGTGTGTGTGTGTGTGTGTGTGTGTGTGTGTGTGTGTGTGTGTGTGTGTGTGTGTGTTCCAAGTGAATCTGCGGCCCCCTGGTGGCCAGTACATCAATGATGTGGCCCCCACCATCCAAGTTGCCCATCCCTGGTCTAGAACATCTGAATGATTGCATTATTTCATCCCTTTTCTCGTTAGCAATGAGCTAACAAAAGATTAGCCGGCTCAGCTAACTCAAAGGGATAACACAGCAACTGATAATACACATTAGTTTATTATAAACTATATTTCTCCTTTATAGTATAGTTCTTACAGTCATACTTATATATAAATATTGATATATTAGTCCTTCTCCTGCCTCAGTATGCATGACCTCCTCCTCTGTTTGTACTACTGTGCAATGGGAACGAGGGAACTAGTGTTTCATTCCTGGAAATAAGAGACGTGCAGGATATTTCATCATTTGTTCCCATATCTCTATAAGAATGTAAATATATGTAGATTTATTATGCATAAAAGTATGTGATTACCTCAGTGAATATATCTGCTGTGCCATTCCTCTAGAACATGTACTGTATGTGCTTTAATCACGCACACACTGTTCAGGGATCATTAACCCTACATGCTAACGCGGGGAGACAATGTGATTAAGTTGCTTTGTGGAGGGTAGCTGTACGTCTTGAGTGTGATGCCTCCAGTGAGTGGGCTTTGATAGAAAACAATGGGCGTATTTGTTGTGATGCATTGTGGGTTTTCCCTTAAGAGCAGCATTGTTAATACTTGAACAGATTAATATTTGATGCAGCACATTTGTAGTTCTGTCAGATGTCCATCAAGTGTCTCCTGGAGGAGTGGACAGCAGACACTTTTTGTGCTTGACAGTGCACAGCAGGAATCATTTGTTTTATCTCCACCCAGCACACATGGATGCTGCCCTGTGGTCATGGGAAGAGACCTCAATGCTGGCGTGGAGAAAATCAAATTCACCTCACAATCTGAAGTTCCCATTTTTCACTCTCCTTAGTTTCAGCAGTAGCATCTGTTTTATATATTAGCACTCGGGGATATGCTTCCTGTGCAAATGGATCCAAAAAGAAAGACTTGTTTGTCTGGTCGTGGCAAATCATCTGGAGTACATTACCATTGATGGTTCATTTGGGGTAACTGTGGCTCAGGGGGACAAAATGGACGTCGACCAATCAGACGTTAGATCCTGAGTCCCTGCAGTCAACATGTCCAAGCATCCTTGGGTTAAATACTTGATCCCAAAATTGCTCCCATATGTCTACGGTATTGAAGTTTATTGGATACAAGTGTCAGCTAAATGTCACACGTATTCCTTCCAGATACGATAATACTTTAATGGTCAAATCAAGTCTGGCATTTGACTTGCATCACAGCAGCTCCATTTGTCACATCAACATGGACAGATATCAAGACGCAATACAAGAAAAAAACAAACATTTAACATGCCATCACAATCACTGAGAGAAATATGCGAAATAAAGACCCTCTGGCATTTGGTCTGGGATTCAGCTCTGGATCTACTGAGAGGATTGACTGGTTGTTTGGACAGAATTTAAAACCAACAGATGTTTAAGATTAAACTTTATTTCAATACATAAATTAAATTAATAAATAAATAAATAAATTGCTCTTATTGTCATTTCACAGTACAGGTACTATGTAACGAAATTATTCCTCTGCATTTGACCCATCCTAGTGTTAGGAGCAACGTGCTGCCGTGTCCGGCGCCCGGGGAGCAGTGTAGGGAACGGTGCCTTGCTCACGGACACCTCGGCCAAGCACTTGGTCTTGCCGGGACTCGAACTGGTTGCCAAGCCAAGTCCCTATCAACTTCGTCACCACCACCCACACATTTCTAAGATTCAAAACAAAAGATCCTGACCACTTGAATCCAGACACTTCTTCATTCACTGTTTCATGCATCTCAAAATACTTTTTGGTTTGAAAATGAATCTGAAGCCTCTTGTGGTATTTATCCGAGACAATCTCCTCCCTCAAACCGTGCACATCAGACAAAGCCACAGTACAGGAGTGGGTAGAATTAGTTTTTCGCACATATTTTGCAGCCAAAAATCGAAACTAGTAGACAGATGTTCACCTCCAGCAGCATTCGTCTTGGCAGTCTCTTTCACTTTTCTATGCTCCCAGTTTCTGTTGTATTGATCGGCTCCAAACACACCTGTGCAGCAGTGAGTTAGGAAGTAGGACAAAGGGGTAAAAACAATCAATCTCTCTTTGCGCCTCTGCCATGCAGCGCTGTCTGCAGCTATTCCTCTTATTTTGTATGACTGTGATGAGCTATCCTCTTCATTGCTTTTGAGAACATATTGTCCATTTAATATTACAGAGCAGTCACTAATCAGAGGTTACTGTGCTGGCTTCAGATCTACTAGTTTGCTGCTAAATCTGTCTTTGTATAACGTTATATGTGATCCAGAGCCTCTGACAGTATTGTTAGCTGATTCACCTTCTCTGACCATTTTCAAGGACAACCTCTTTACTTCTTCTCCACACTTTTTTCAAAGGTCAACGGAAGAAAGACACTCACATTGCAGCCAGAGAATAGCTGTCTTTATAATGCCTTCACATTTTTAAAACCATTGTTATTATCCCCTGGCAGCCTTCAGTCCAAAGGTTCCATCTCTTTGTCAAGTAAAACTTAGTGAGCCTTCAACAAAAAGTTGTTCAAGAAGTACTGCCAGAGGAACCAAGGATGCATAACATGAAGGTTCAGTGCAAGCTAGGAAGAAATCCAAAGTGAAGTTTATATTTCAGAAAGTTTTTTTGTTGAAAAAGATAATGTATTTTCACTGTAAAGCCGGCCTAAACCTCCTGAGCTCAGTTTTCATTATGTATGTAGTGCTGAAAAGAAACTGAAAATCAATGGAGCCCTAAAGGAGGAAGCCAACCAACCAGCAGAGACTTTCAGGAGATTAAAACAACAAGCTGTGCTGTGTTAGTGTTTGTGTTTAAATTAGAAAGTATAGATCAAAATGTGGGAACAAGGGAAGAATGGAAGTTACATTTCTGTCTAAAAAGTCTGGATGGAGGTTTTCTCCCACAGGCCAAAGACATGTATAGATTAGGTGAAATATAGTTTTTAAATTGCCTGTCGGTGTGAAAAGTTGTTTTGTGTCAATCCTGTGAAAGACTGACAACCTGTCCTGGTTGAGCTCAAACAGACGCAAAACCAATGCAAAGGATAAGTGACTACGGTATAAGAGGTAACTAGCGTTCCTAGAAAAGGCCTCCATGCTTTTCAATCAAATCAGGAAGTACTCGGGTAAAGCACAGGATCCAAATGTTGGGTTGGGGTTGTTTTCGCGATAGTCAGTTCTGCCAAAGTCTCCTTTCGTTAGCATATTAATCCAACTTTGACGGGTCGTGAACATATTTTCTTCAAGCCATAACCCGTTTATACCCCAAAGAATACAGACAACACCTACAAATTAAGAAGGATCATTACATGGACAGAAGACTGATGCTATCTGCTGTCGACAAAATAGGGACACAAAACAAAAGGCTTAGGTAAAGGGTTGGTAACCATACAAAAGGGATGATCCTCATATAAATCCCAAATGGTAAGGGGTGGAGTCATACCATTTTGTGTATTGGATGATGTCCTCCATCTTCTAATCTAATGTGTACCGAGTTTAGCGCCTCTAGCTTCTTTCTTTGATATAGCTGCCATTGACTCCCATTGAAGTTAAAAACGGGATAATCCTCATATAGATCCAGAACGCCAAGTGGTAGAGCCATGAACGTTGGTGTCAATATAGTCTCCTCCTGCTATTAATGTGTGCCAAGTTTGGTGTTTGATATATTTTTCTTTTGATATAGCTGCCATTGATCCCCCATTCCAACATATTCTGAAAATTGTCATCATCAGGGTTTGGCCAAACTTTGGGACATCACTTTTAGAAGCAAAGGCTAGTTAAACACTTTGATATCACACATGTACTGCTGTGATTAAGTGTGCTTGTGAAAGTTGGTGTCAATATAGTCTCCCCCTGCTATTCATGTGTACCAAGTTTGGCGTTTTATATATTTTTCTTTTGATATTGCTGCCATTGACCCCCCATTCTAACATATTCAGAAAATTATCATCATTATGAGATACACACATCTGAAATGTTTAGGTCTGACTCAATCATTGCTCACTTTTTAGCAGAAATAGTTTTCTATGACCTCACTTTCTTTCTACTTTCTTGTTTAACTTATCCTTCAGTTAGTTCAAGTGTTTCGTGCTAAAAGAACCCCCCTTTGGAAAATTCTAATCTGACCCCATGGTACCTTTTAGTTTTCGCTCAAACTAGGGTTTGAAATAGGCTAGTTAAACACTGTGATATCACACATGTTCTGCTGTGATTAAGTGTGCTTTTGTTTGTTCCCAATAGGTAAGCCCAAAGTGGAGCTGACCTACGACAAGATGTACACCGTGACCAGCCGGCTGACCTTCACCGTCAGTAAGGAGGACGACGGCGTGCCGGTGGCGTGCATCGTGGACCACCCTGCCGTGAAGGACTTCCTTGCACAGAAATACCTCGAGGTTCAGTGTAAGTACTTCTGCTATTCCGTAAATTAGAAATCAGCGTGGATATTTTAAGCTGCCATATGCAAGTTTTTCAAGTGTCTCATCAGCTCAACTCCGCAAATTGGACTGTAATACAGAAGAGTGTTCCATCGCCACTAATTAAACGGCATAAATTTGCTACTTTTCCCAACTAAAAGTTTGCTGTATGGCAGTGTCATTGAAGGGAAATCATCTCACGCTCAGGTTATGCAAGGAGAAAATTGGTCTGCCACAGAGTAGAGTGTTCCATCTCCACTAATTAAATGACATCAATTTCCCACATTTCCCCCCCCGCTGAAATGTCGGTGCATGGCAAAGTCATTAGAGAGAAACCATATCAGAGCAGGATGAATACAAAATGTAAATGTATAAAATTGTGCATTTGTGAATGTCTTCTAAAGAAATATACTAATGTATCAGGTTGTGTTTGCGTGTTTTTAACATGAGTTGTCATTACAGTATGTTTCTGTTGCATTTACTTGATATTATAAAATAACTTTAATATTCACAGTATTTCCTGACATTTAAGCTTACAATAATATAGCAGTTCAATCCAGCTTGAGGTAAAAAGTAAATGAATAGCGCTGCTTTTATGCTATTATGTGCATAATACATATGCCAAGATGTTTGGGATTTTAAGTGTGCACTAACCAGGTGCAGAGAATTACAAAAAGGTCGAGACTTAAACTCTTGAGTGCGCACAAAAGAAGGAATTTACATCTTTGTGATATTGAGTGCTTCTGAACTCCTCCAAAAATGGTCCATAAGTGGAAGTAGGCGTGCACTTTAATCAAGTGTTTGCACATGAACACCTTAGTCTCTCTTTGCAATTCCTTTAATGAAAAGAGCAGAAGAGAAGTCATGGGAAAGGTATTTCATAATGGCCTCCAAAACAGCTGTGATTATTTATAGACCGCAAATGCATTTAGTTCATAGAAAATGATCCATACCGTTATCGGCAATAATATCTTATACTATGATGAAATGTCAAAGTAAAATAGAGTACAAAGTCATATTAACCCTAACCCTAACCCGAGGTAAACGACAAGTGAAATGCACCATATCCAACAGAAATAATTGACAACAAAATATTGATTGTCACTTAGGCATGGTATGTGGGATGCAACAACAACAACAACAACATAAACAAATACACTTTAGAATGTTTCGAGAACATTTAGAGAACCTTAGATCCTAAATTAAAATACTGAATATGAAATTCGGAAATTATGTTTTTTCTTGTTTATGCACATTATTTGTGCATCTGGCCTCCGAAGTTTACGTTATGATACGTTAAGATACGTTATGATACGTTAAGATACGTTATGATACGTTAAGATACGTTATGATACGTTATGATACGTTAAGATACGTTATGATACGCTATGATACGTTATGATACGTTAGGATACGTTATGATACGTTATGATACGTTAGGATACGTTATGATACGTTAAGATGCGTTATGATACGTTAAGATACGTTAGGATACGTTATGATACGTTAAGATACGTTAAGATACGTTATGATACGTTATGATACGTTAAGATACGTTAGGATACGTTAGGATACGTTAGGATACGTTATGATACGTTATGATACGTTATGATACGTTAAGATACGTTAAGATACGTTATGATACGTTATGATACGTTAAGATACGTTAGGATACGTTATGATACGTTAAGATACGTTAAGATACGTTAAGATACGTTAGGATACGTTAGGATACGTTATGATACGTTATGATACGTTATGATACGTTAAGATACGTTATGATACGTTATGATACGTTAGGATACGTTAGGATACGTTAGGATACGTTATGATACGTTATGATACGTTATGATACGTTAGGATACGCTATGATACGTTAGGATACGTTATGATACGTTATGATACGTTAAGATACGTTAAGATACGTTATGATACGTTATGATACGTTAAGATACGCTATGATACGCTAAGATACGCTATGATACGTTAAGATACGTTAGGATACGCTATGATACGCTATGCCACGTTAATAACATTATAATACGTTATGATACGTTATGATACGTTACGATACGTTAAGACATGTTATGATACGCTATGCGACGTCATGATACGTTAGGATACGTTACGATACGTTACGATACCTTACGATACGATACGTTACGATACAATACGTTATGATACGTTAGGATACGTTAGGATACGTTATGATACGTTAGGATACGTTAGGATACGTTAGGATACGTTATGATACGTTAAGATACGTTAGGATACGCTATGATACGTTATGATACGTTAAGATACGTTAGGATACGCTATGATACGCTATGCCACGTTAATAACATTATAATACGTTATGATACGTTATGATACGTTACGATACGTTAAGACATGTTATGATACGCTATGCGACGTCATGATACGTTAGTATACGTTAGGATACGTTAGGATACGTTACGATACGTTACGATACGATACGTTACGATACGATACGTTATGATACGTTAAGATACGTTATGATGCGTTAAGATGCGTTATGATACGTTAGGATACGTTAGGATACGTTAGGATACGTTACGATACGTTGCGATACGTTGCGATATGTTGCGATACGTTACGATACGTTACGATACGTTACGATACGTTAGGATACGTTACGATACGTTACGATACGTTAAGATACGTTAAGATACGTTACGATACGTTAGGATACGTTAGGATACGTTAGGATACGCTATGATACGTTATGATACGTTAAGATACGTTATGATACGTTATGATACGTTAAGATGCGTTAAGATGCGTTATGATACGTTACGATACGTTACGATACGTTACGATACGCTACGATACGTTATGATACGTTAACATAAGTTAAGACGATACGTTACGATACGTTACGATACGTTGCGATACGTTGCGATACGTTGCGATACGTTACGATACGTTAAGATACGTTAAGATACGTTACGATACGTTATGATACGTTAACATAAGACGATACGTTATGATACGTTACGATACGTTACGATACGTTACGATACGTTACGATACGTTATGATACGTTAACATAAGACGATACGTTACGATACGTTATCTGTGGTGAGTGCGCCACTCTTACATTTCTAAATGTGATCCAGGGTTATGTTTTTATTGCTAAAATGTATAACAGTAAAGAATATCAATGGGCATTGAAGACAGATATTTGCAACACATTATAAGTTTGCCTTAGATATATATGAATACTGGACTTATCATAACGATGGAATCCCATTTGAACTCAGCACTGGAGCCGTGTGGGCAGTCATTAATATGCCAGGCCTTTGTAATGTGGAGCTTTAGATATTTTTATTGATGCAAAATGACAGAATTGATGTCTTTCATGCCCCGGTAACCTTATGTCTTTAGCCTCTGGCATGTCCTAGCATTCTGTTTAAAAAAAATAAAACTCTTCTGCAGCCATCTGACCTTTCCCCGGGAGAGCGAGAAGAGGAGATCAGATCATCTTCAGAGGCAGCGTGGCATTTAGTCGGCCTCTGATAACAGAGAGAGAGACTCTGTGCATACTGTATCAGCCAACAAAACAGTCAAGTTTAACATTATAATCTATTGTGTGGAACATCTTCGAGAACATCATAATTGGAGATTGTCTTCATTTCTTTGACTTTTGTCGTGCTCCTTATTATCAGGCTCTGTAATTTCCTGAGTTTCCTGAAGAGCAGCTTTTGATTTACAAAGGATTTTTCTTTTTTCCTTACTCTAAATATAGCAATTTGGCTGATTTGATTGGAGTTAATTGGAAGTGTAATTCGCCAGAGGTGTTAAAGTACAATATGCACAGTTCAGGGTGTACCTCAGTTTTGGAGTCATGGTTTTTAGTACAGAAAATATAATAATAGAAACCCATTAAATCATTTATGAGTTCATTTTTTCATTGTAAATATTAAAATACTAAATAGCCCCGAGATGCAAGGTCATTTTTTTTGTACGCGATCTCTGTGGAAACTTAAGTTTAGGAGGTATTATGTTGTGCTAAATATGAAAGTTAGAGTAGCTAATTGTTTATTTGTTCTGTGTGTGTTTCTACAGAAATGTTTGAACATTGAAAAATATTGAAACACATTGCAAGTATTTTCTAACTGATTTTGTTCTCAGTTGAGTATGAGAAAAATAAAGAGCTTTTTGAACATTAAAGCATGGAGACATGTCACAGTAGAGAAACTAAATACTGATATGAACCTGAAAATAAGCAGAATGTCCTCTTTAATTAATGATAGAGACCTAATTAGTGTTTGGTAAGCTAACTCAGACAGTGAGGGGTGCAAACTCACTGTCATGTCTTGTGGTTTGCTAGTTGTCTTTTTCTACAAGCCATTTTATAACCCAGCTACATATTTGTAGGACATTATAAAGAGCCATGAATTAAAGCGTACTATGGCGGTGTTTGTTTACTGATGATATATTATCCTGATAGACGAGGTAATTTACATTTCAATCACTCACTGTGTGGGCAATTTGCTAGTAGAGCGGAGTGCATTGTGTGCTAAGAAAACAGCTAAAAGGCCATTGTCAGGGGATAGCGTAATTAAATAAGCGTGTAATGTTTATGTGTATGAGCGGAGCGGGCTGTTTTGCTGCGTCGACTCGTTGCTTCTCCCTTAAGGTCGCCCGGCTGCACGGAGATGGATAGTGCCGTCTCGAGTGCTTATGAGGTGAGGCGCACAATAAAGCAAATAATTCAGTTAGCGTAATGATAACGGCCTTCTTGCATACTGTAGACACTAATTCATTCCCACTGAAGAGGCAGGATGCGGATCTGGCTGTGCAGCATTGTGTTTTCCCATCAAGCAGAGACAAGAAAGCTCTGACATAACTACTCGCGGCTATCAAAACAACTTACAGATGCCCGGCGTCCTTCATGTTTATTGCTCCGAGATGACAAGGTCGGCTGTGAGAGTGAAGAAAAGTTGCCGTGTAGCGCCTGCAGTGAGAAACAAAACCAAAGGCTTGCTGTCTGAACATGCCCACTGAGCAGAATACTTGGCTTTTCGCCCGTCTGCTGTCCATCACGGAGACGGAGAGGCGGCCGCTGACAGGGTGTGATTTAGACAGATGACCAGACACGTGTTGTTTGTTGCCGAGAAGGTCGGACGGCAGTGTGAAACTTTACAGCCGGCTTTTGAAATCATAACTCAGGCCTTGTGTCTGCAGGCTGATTAGACATGCACGCAGCAAACTGTGCATTCAGGATTTAAAACTGGGGGAAAAAACAAGAATAACAATCAGGGAAGTGTAATTACGGCACAGTGACTCAGCAATCAGTCGGCTCTGAGATGAGTGGAGGTATTAACGGTTTCTTCAGCATCTCACACAAAACAACACATTTCTTTGAGAAGTCATTATAGGTTGAGGCTTTTAATATATTGCAAACAATGTCAGCCATCATTCTGGATCTTTTTTTAATGAACTTTGATTTATTTTATACACAAATTGACAGCACAAAAAGGTGTCATGTTATAAAGTACATCCAAACATATAATACACAGCAACATCCAAGACAACAACATAAACAGTTGGCTCGAATAAAACATTTGTAAATAAATTAAGAAAAATAAGAACAACTAAACACAAGTGTAAAATAATTTTGTATCTAACATTTCAACACAGATATTCATCAAAATGACGAAGTTCAACCAATGTAATGTTAATGTTTTCTTGTTTTGTGTTTAATGATCTAATTCAATTGAATATATACAGAAAAGGTACAAGAACCTTTTTGTGAGTTATCCAATGACATTGTTTTTGGTAAAATACCTCAAATCTTATGGCGAAATTCCGACAAACCTTTTGATAAATCAGTTAGAAAATGTATTAATTATAAATTCTTAACAATTTCAAAAAGTCATGAACAAGGGCTGATATAATAATACCATACCAGAAAATAAAAAGAAATGTCATACAAGTACAAAACCCTAACCCTAACTCATTCATAAAGAAGAATGAGTTACTGTATCTCTCAAACACTACATTGATATAGCATGTTACTTGTTTTCAAGCTTCCCTTCGTGTATGATTTACTGGTTGGACGTTTAAAAGCTGAAACAAATATCAGGATTCATGTTTTGCTTTCAGTTCTTCTCTCACACAAAACTCAATCCCTTACTCAGATGATTGAATAAAACATTGCATTTTTGTCCAGAATAAAGGATCATGTCTCACACCAAGATGAGAAAAGAGCTTTGATAACACCAGCAACAGTCGGGGGAATGAGAACAATAGAAACTCGGCGGTTGCAAAGAATAGCACAGCAGAAACTGTCAAAGCACCCCGCTGATTGTCAAAACAACATTCTTACATTTTCTCTCCGCCTGCGCTACAGTCACTGCCTTTTGTTTTGTGTGTGATAGTTATCAGGTAACATATATTTGGATGGACTACTTGTGGGTCCAAACCACGTCTGTCATTCCCCAATGCTTTGCCTTGTGTTTTGGTGTTGGGGTTAATTTACAATTCCATCAATATTATACCCAAGGTAGACCCAACACTGCTGAAGAATGATTGATGCAGTGGAAGAGAGGGTTGGGGGTAAAAAGGCAGCGGTGGTCGGAAAGATGTAAGGGAAAAACACCTTGAATTTATTCTGTTGTTAACGTCATGTCAAGTCAAATCAATCCAGACCACGCAGAGTTGGTGTAGTGTGAAGCTCAATCGTAATAAAAAAATAAAGTTCCTGTTTCTTGACCTGCTTTATTCTTTAACTTCAGCACTACTGGATCGGGTCATGTTAATGTTGTTGTGTTTATTACTTAAACATATAGGGACAATTTCTGTGAGCATGGTGAGCTGTACTGTTCTGTGTGAAGAAAAGGAGTGATGGGTAAACAAATACCTGATTACTGTGAAAAATGATGCGGGATGATGTATTTTTGTATGCAGACCCTGAAGTTAGCATCTCCCTGGTTCCCGCTACAAAAAGCTTTGGCATAAAATAATCTCTGTGGCAAATAGACGTTTATGATACTTCCAACGTTTTGTTCAGCAGGATAATGTCCACATATTAACCAAACGTTATGATGTTGAATAAAAAGTTAACGTTGGGCTATAAAGGAACTAGAGCACGGTCACATGACTCCACGTCACCACCGCTAAGCTAAAGGAGGCTAATGTTGGGCTATAAAGGAACTAGAGCACGGTCACATGACTTCACGTCACCACCGCTAAGCTAAAGGTGGCTAATGTTGGGCTATAAAGGAACTACAGCACGGTCACATGACTTCACGTCACCATCGCTAAGCTAAAGGTGGCTAATGTTGGGCTATAAAGGAACTACAGCACGGTCACATGACTTCACGTCACCATCGCTAAGCTAAAGGAGGCTAATGTTGGGCTATAAAGGAACTACAGCACGGTCACATGACTTCACTTCACCACCGCTAAGCTAAAGGCGGCTAATGTTGTCTGATTTAGACACTTAGATATATGTTATGTTGTAAACCAACAAAAATGTCTTCAGCTTGTGTTAAACACAGACAATATTTCAGGGTTCAAACCAAAAACACATTCAGAATACCATTGGGTTAATGTTCGCCAACTAACCCAACTTCTGGGTTGCACAAAAAAGATGTGATCACTGCACCACTCTTAAGTATATGCAGAGGGAAGATATGTAATTCATTACCTGTTATGTTATGCCAGCATTTAATTCTCTTTCTATCTTTACTTTCAGACAAACCGGAGGTGAAGATCGTGGTAGAGTTTCCTCAGGGTCTGACGAGGGAAGGAGAGAACCTGGAACTCACGTGTCAGGCCAAAGGCAAACCCCAGTAAGAGACACACACACACACACACACACACACACACACACACACACACACACACACACACACACACACACACACACACACACACACACACACACACACACACACACACACACACACACACACACACACACACACACACACACACACACACACATTGTTACTAATTAAAATGTGCCAAGGGTAGAGAAAACACATTTATTTATTCATTGAGATACCTTGACTTCATTTTAAGGTCTGCTTATGTGTGTCTCGTTGCTGTGCTATGAATTGCTGTTGAGAAGAAACTTTTTCAGCAGCACATTAAGTGAGAGTAAGTTCAAAGGAGGATGTACACAAATACAACTCCAGCAATCAGACATAACAAATATGAAGCAATTAACCTTTACCACCAAGTTCTGCTGCAGAAAATATGGTAGAGCTAGGAAAAAAACTAAATGAAAATGAACACAAAATAATCCATAAATCGATTTAATCCTTGTCTTCATGGTCACGTTTGTAAACATTTAAAAAGATGAAAAAAGGTGTTTTGAGAAAGTTCTGATTGACTTGACGTTGGGTCAATATCAATTTAAATTGATGTTGAATGAGCAGAAACAAGTCGTTTTTCTAGGAATGTGAAAGGTCGGTCGGTCGGTCGGTCGGTCGGTCGGTCGGTCGGTCGGTCGGTCGGTCGGTCGGTCGGTCGGTCGGTCGGTAGGTAGGTAGGTTATTTAGAAGATAGCTAATATTTGATAGCTAATATTTGATAGATGGACGGATAGATAGATAGATAGACAGACAGACAGACAGACAGACAGACAGACAGACAGACAGACAGACAGACAGACAGACAGACAGACACACAGACAGACAGACAGACAGACAGACAGACAGACAGACAGACAGACAGACAGACAGACAGACAGACAGACAGACAGACAGACAGACAGACAGACACACAGACACACAGACAGACAGACAGACACACAGACAGACAGACAGACAGACACACAGACACACAGACAGACACACAGACAGACAGACAGACAGACAGACAGACAGACAGACAGACAGACAGACAGACAGACAGACAGACAGACAGACACACAGACACACAGACAGACACACAGACAGACAGACAGACAGACAGACAGACAGACACACAGACACACAGACACACAGACACACAGACAGACACACAGACAGACACACAGACAGACAGACAGACAGACAGACAGACAGACAGACAGACAGACAGACAGACAGACAGACAGACAGACAGACAGACAGACAGACAGACAGACAGACAGACAGACAGACAGACAGACAGACAGACAGACAGACAGACAGACAGACAGACAGACAGACAGACAGACAGACAGACAGACAGACAGACAGACACACAGACACACAGACAGACAGACAGACACACAGACAGACAGACAGACAGACACACAGACACACAGACAGACACACAGACAGACAGACAGACAGACAGACAGACAGACAGACAGACAGACAGACAGACAGACAGACAGACAGACAGACAGACAGACACACAGACACACAGACAGACACACAGACAGACAGACAGACAGACAGACAGACAGACACACAGACACACAGACACACAGACACACAGACAGACACACAGACAGACACACAGACAGACAGACAGACAGACAGACAGACAGACAGACAGACAGACAGACAGACAGACAGACAGACAGACAGACAGACAGACAGACAGACAGACAGACAGACAGACAGACAGACAGACAGACAGACAGACAGACAGACAGACAGACAGACAGATATGACGGTTGCCTTCACATAAGTAAGTGTTACAAAGAACTGTGACTAAGGGCCCAGATCTTTTTAAATGGCCATTCCTCCTGGATACATTATCACTGAATTAAATGGCTGCTATTTTCTCTCCAATGAATTTCTAAGGGGGGGAATTTTCAAAACTGGCCTGTAATTATGAACCACATCAGAATTACTGTGATATTTTCAGCAGGTGTTTAATTAGCACTCCTTTAAAGACGGAGGACGGAGCAGAAAGGGACCGTAATGACAGTGAGCGGGTCCTAATGTCCCGTAGGAGGAACGTCAGAGGAACAGTGGACTGAATAGGTTGAAGCTTGAATAGGCAGGGTGTTATTTTTGAGTAATGAGTGCTAATTCTCTCACAGTATCCAGGGAGACTGTGTGAGAAGAAGAGAGTATGTTGATTGAGTGGAGGCGCTAGATTTGAACAAATGAAGTCAAGGTCAAGGTAAAAAGATTAAAATAAACTGAGCTGAGCACAAGGAACATTATCAAAGTTATTCTCTACCACTGACAAAAATGAACTTCCAATGGCCTCAGTATCATTTTGAAACGTATGTCTTAATAGAAAAAGGACCATGCACGAAAACCATATTATTAATAGTTATAAAGCCAGATTTTTGCTCATAACTCATTTCCATCTGCTGTTCCAGTGGAGGTAGACACATAGTAATCGACAAACCCTTAATACATTACATATTCTCTATCACACACTTATACAAAAAGACCCTAAAAACAGATCTATAACAAACATTTATCGGTAGAACTTACAATTCACTCAAGAACACCTCAAATTAAGCTCAAGTTAAGGCAGATTTTAAGGTTGTGCCCATTTTCTGTTTTTCCATTTGCATCAAACGGCCATTTGACACTCGTTAGGCCATTATTCCACATGTATCATCTGAAACCTGAATGTTGTTTTGTTTAGATGACGGCTGTTTGTGATATGAGATGTAATGGAGTGCAAATGATGCCATTAGAGCACTCGAGTGTGAGGAAAACAAAACAAGAGCTTCAGGAAGGAGACCTGACGAACTGTCCAAACATCAGCGCTGTCGGTATCAATCATATTAGTTTGTTGACAAGACAGCTCACATTTGAACAGGACAATACAATCATCAGATGAGACTGGAGTTATGAATATTACATTAGAAAACAGTGATTTGAGGGATGTGGCTTTTCAACAGGTGTGTTGTGTTTATACAGCGTTCCTAGACCTCTAGTCCATGACCACAAAGCGCATTTTTTCAATTGGTGCTATTAATTTAAATGATTTTCGACAACTATGTAATCTGTCATGCCAACATATACAGTTTTCTTAAACATAAAAAGGTGTTGAAGTTGATCTCACAGTGGTAATAACTTCTTTTATTTCAGGCAGTAAAAACATTTGTTTATTTATCTTGACAGAAGTTAAGGGTAAAATGTTGAAGGTAAAAAAGGAAATGCTTTTATTTTGAAGTGCAAGTATGTGTCCTTCCTGTTATGATATGTAAATGAATAAGAGTATGTTCTTGTTGAAAACTGTTACATCAAAAGTAAACACTTTCAGTTTGGACAAGATGGGCTTGGTTCTTCATTCGAAGCTTCTAGTACACATGTGGTGATGAATGACTTCCTTAATGAAACAAGCTAACCTCGTTCATGTTCTTTAGAATTTTACTTCGGTTTCAACCAAGTAAAAGTAAAAGTTGTCTTTTTGGCAGAGGAAATAGAAAGTAGTTCAAAGCTCTGAAGGGAAATCAAATACCTGATTAGAGTGTAGTGTAGGAGGAAATCAATCTTGGACTCACAATGGATTTTAATGGCGACTTTCATTGAAAGAAAACAAGAATCCTTATTACATTTAACACTTCTACTTTAGCCTTGTTAGCAAGAGGAGTTTCAAAGAACAGACACAAATCAAACCTGTAAAGCCAGATCTCAGGATAAAAACATGTTTTTCTGGAGCAAGGTGAGCATATGAATGGGCAGAGCGTTTTCAATGTAATAACTTGTGGACCTTGAATCTGTTCTTCCTTGGGATCCATTGTAACTTCTGTGAAAACTAGTTGAACAAAAAGCTGCTGTCCTTTGAGAAAGAGCTTTTCAAAACCTTATTCCAAGCTGTAAGAAACTCAAAACACCGACATCTTGGTTAGGTAATATATTAAGAAAGTTAGCGGTGTTATTAAATGCTTGGATGTTGTTATTGAAACTGTTTGCTTTCATAATGCAGTCATGTTGCAGCTTGTGCTTTTGTCTTTTATGTGCTACACAAATCTCTTTTACTGTCTGCTTACTGCATTTATACATACGTATCTTTACAGCATACAGCATGTAGTAGTCTTAACATTATTTATGTATACATTCTGTGTCATGCTACAGGTGAATTAAGGGAAAGGGAACAGGACCATTGCATGAATTTGCGTTTCCCTGACCCAGATTGAACACAGGGTTGCGGTCGAACTGTCAAAAATGTAATCTCTGGAGCTCTGTGCAATCACCATTCAACATGTTTTAAGCAACCTTGCACAACCTTGAAATGTTGACTTTATTTAATAGTTTTACAGTTAGCATCACATTTCTGCGTTTTGGCTTCATACTGTACATTGTTGAATAAGCTCCATAACTCAAATGCATTTCTAGGTAACGATAGCTTTGTTTCCTCTAACGGCCGAATGTTGTTTCACGTTAAAAGGTGCGATGTATTGTGTCCTTTTCTCTAAGGCATCATCTGCTTAAGGAGATAATAGAGGAAGCATTGAACCTCCTTTCTTAACATCTATAAAATCCAAGCAGTTCTTATCATAGCTGAAACTTTGGTCCAACCACTACCCAAATCAGAAATATATTCTCAACCCTAATTCAAAGTTACGATCCGTCAAACTTCTGAGTCTCAAACTCTTTATCATCCTCTGAAGGGTAGAAGTACAAGAACACAGTGTTCATACTTGGCTTAGAGACAAGCTCACAACCCGTATTCATTTTACAAAGATGAAAACACAATCAATACAGTGAGCCGGGAATTGGAAGTCATTTTCATTAGAGCTGCTGAGAGTTGTGCAGTCATTACCAGCCGATAGCACCAGGGGCCCGGCTGCCGGCGGCCGTTTGTATTCCAGACGCCCTTCTCCTCTCCTGCAGTCCCCTCTCACCACTTTCCTCTATCTGTGTGCTCCGGATTCATTTGTCCCCTTCTCAAAACATCCAATCGTCCTATAGAAACTGCTTTTTTTCCCCAGGTCATGTCTCTCACTCCATTTTATTTACATATGTTTGGTTTATTTACATTTCATTTCATGTGGAGAGCACTTGTTATAGACACGGCACGCTCTTTCAGGCTCTCTACACAACCCAGTCTCACGGCATTTCGTGTTATAGTCACGAAATTAATCTATTGATTCGTGTTCACCAACACGATTTCGCCATTTTTTTCGTGTCACACAGAACGATTTTAAAAGCAATGTAAATAATAACAAATTAGAAGGAAAAAGACATTTAAAAAAATACAGATTTCAGTATTCTGACACAGAACGATTTTAGAAGCAATGTATTTCTATTGGTAGTATGTTTCGTGCCTGCACCAAATAATAACAAATTAGAAGGAAAAAAAGATGATAAAATACAGATGTCAGTATTCTGAGGCTCTGAGACATTTCTTTTCCTCACTGACTTCAAAACAACTCAGACATTATACAATTTAAAATAAAAGGGATAGGGTTAGGCTTAGGGTAAGATATTGAGTAAGAACATGTTTTTATGAACCACACAGCTTCTGGTCTTCCAAGACCCGACCGGACAAAAAGACGTGTTGCAGGCACGAAACATACTACCAATAGAAATACATTGCTTTTAAAATCGTTCTGTGTGACACGAAAAAAATGTGAAAATCGTGTTGGTGAACACGAATCAATAGATTCAATTAATTTCGTGACTAATAACACGAAATGCCGTGAGACTGGGTTGCTCTCCAACAGCCATTTAACGCACTTGTGCTTTGTTTGTTTTCAGCTATTGGGCTTCCATTTCATATTTTCTTTTTACTGGATATTTCCCATTTGTTCCCCTATCCTATTTTCTTTCTCCCTCCACACCAAATGTTTTTCTAATGGAGGGAAACAAGTAAAAAAAGCACAGCAAAATGCAACAAGAGAGACCGACAGCTCTCGCTCAGGGGAAATAACAGTCGCTGGCAGCAGCCATTGAAAGTTCTTTTCCCTCTTACCCTCCGTGGCTCTGAGCTCATTGTCATACAAATCTAATCTGTCACCCCACTATAAACCTCAGTCGAGGTATAAAGGGAACAAATACAGACATTTGGTAGGAGCCCACCTACACAGCAGCAGTTAGAGGTTTACGTGGCAAGGATGCTTGCTGCTCCAAACGTATTGTTGCTTTTAAGTGTACACTAAGGGAGGAATGTTATTATAATATGTATTGGTTTTGTAATGTCTTAACTCTCTTTGATAAGCCTTTTTTCAAGCAAATTGAGGTAAAGCTGTTTACCTTAAGGACAGATGAGTCTTTGGGGAACTGTTAACACGTGTTGTGAAAAGATATTTACTATATGATGGGAATATGGCTATAGGGCATTGCAAGGATTTGATGATGCAGTACTGATAGAGAGATAACTCTTGTTGGTAGAGCCAACATCCCCATGTCTGAGTAACACACCATGTCCAGAAGCAAATACACTTACTGGGCAATCATGACTTTGTTGAAAGGGTCAAATAAATGTGCAATTTTCTTATATAAAGTTAAATATTGATATTAGAAGTAAACAAAGAAGCAAAAGGTGATGTCTGTATGTGAGAGAGATGGAGCGTGGGTGAGGCCAGAGAGAGCTTTGAGAGGCCGAACAACAGATGGCAGAGTTCACCTGCAAGTGAGAACAATAAACAAAGAGTAGGAGGACGAGGACATTGTTTTTCATTCCCTCAAAATAACTTTAAAGCAAGATACAAAACAACAACTGGTGGTTATGATCAATAACATATACAGTATAAACTTATGAAAGGAAGATGTCAACCTCTGACAGATGAATTTCTTTACTAATTCTCGTCTGAAATCAAATCTCTATTTGTCCATGTAAAGGTTTAAGGCGATATATTGGGATGTAAAAAAGGAAGGTTGGTTGGTCGGTTGTTTGGTCGGTGGGTGGATTGGTTGGTTGGTTGGTTGGTTGGTTGGTTGGTGGGTGGATTGGTCGGTGG